TTCTGCTGGTGTAGAAGATGACGCGTTTCTGCTTTGGTTCCTACTGCAGTTCTGAGAGCCCCACGCCCGTGTCTCGGTGCAGGCTCATTTCCTGTCTCCGTCCCCATCTGCTTTCTGACACAAGACATGTCCCAGGGCTCTAACTCCCGGGGTCTCCACAGGCCTCTGCCTGGGGATGGCACAACCTAGATCTTCATGTGGATTGTGTGTTTGGGTCTTTTAGTCCCGGTCTGGTTTTCATTTCCCTTGCAGTGAGCTCCTGAATTTAAGCCTCCTCTGACGCGAACGCTGCCTCCCCCCGCCAGGCCAAGGGTGAGCTGGGAGCGGCGCTGAGAGCGCCTGGATGTCTGACAAGACGCCCCCCTTCCACTGTAGGACTTGGCTGGAGAGGGCACGTGGGAGCGGAGCTCTCCTCCTCCTCCTCCTCCTCTTGAATTCAGGGTGTCTTTGCTCTGTGCTCTGTGCTCAGGTGCTCAGCTCTGTGCCAGAGCAGCCTGCCCCATGGCTGTGGCGTTCTTGGGGGCCCAGGCTGTGTCCGGACCCCGCTGTCCTCAGCCCTGCCTTAGCTCAGGAAACCCCGCTGTCACTCTCCCGTCACCGGCCGCTGGACTTGGCCTCTGTGCTTCAGCTGTTCCCTCCTCTGCCGCCGGGCTTCCCCAGGCCCCGCGGCCTTCCTGCCGCCGTCTCCTGGTATTTTGTGCCCCATCGTTTCTACACGGGCATTCTAATAACTACCTGCGTCCACTCCTGCTGGTCAGCATCCACTGCTGCAGGTCAGCGTCCACTGCTGCAGGTCAGCCCACACTCCTGCTGGTCAGCGTCCACTGCTGCAGGTCAGCGTCCACTGCTGCAGGTCAGCGTCCACTCCTGCTGGTCAGTGTCCACTGCTGGAGGCCAGTGTCCACTCCTGCTGGTCAGTGTCCACTCCTGCAGGTCAGCGTCCACTCCTGCAGGTCAGCGTCCACTGCTGCAGGTCAGTGTCCACTGCTGCAGGTCAGCGTCCACTCCTGTAGGTCAGCGTCCACTGCTGCAGGTCGGCGTCCACTGCTGCAGGTCGGCGTCCACTCCTGCAGGTCGGCGTCCACTCCTGCAGGTCAGCGTCCACTGCTGCAGGTCAGCATCCACTGCTGCAGGTCAGCGTCCACTGCTGCAGGTCAGCGTCCACTGCTGCAGGTCAGTACATCCACTGCTGCAGGTCAGCGTCCACTCCTGCTGGTCAGCGTCCACTGCTGCAGGTCAGCATCCACTGCTGCAGGTCAGCGTCCACTCCTGCTGGTCAGCATCCACTGCTACAGGTCAGCGTCCACTGCTGCAGGTCAGCATCCACTGCTGCAGGTCAGCGTCCACTCCTGCAGGTCAGCGTCCACTCCTGCAGGTCAGTGTCCACTGCTGCTGGTCAGCGTCCACTGCTGCAGGTCAGCATCCACTCCTGCAGGCCAGCGTCCACTCCTGCTGGTCAGCGTCCACTGCTGCAGGTCAGCATCCACTGCTGCAGGTCAGCGTCCACTCCTGTTGGTCAGCGTCCACTCCTGCAGGTCAGCGTCCACTGCTGCAGGTCAGCGTCCACTGCTGCAGGTCAGCGTCCATTCCTGCAGGTCAGCGTCCACTGCTGCAGGTCAGCGTCCACTGCTGCAGGTCAGTGTC